TAGGAGAAGAGGAGCGATCTTGATGCTCTCCACTGCTTCCATCATTGGGTTCCTTCGAGGGAGAAGGAGGATTTGAAGATGAACGGCTATTCATTCAAGCCGGGGAGCCAAATGTCGTTTATGCGAGGTTTGGGGAAATTTATTTACTGTGTTTCAGAGAGGAACAAGAAGCGACCGTTTAGAGAAACGATTTATTCAACAATAACTACAACACAACCAGGATCATCAGCATGCAGGAGTACAGGTATGTTAATTAAGTGATGGAAGAGAGGGCGGGAAGAGGAGACAGTATGTGAGAGAGAGAGAGAACCAAGAAAATACGCTAATCAAGTTTCAGACAAAAGATTTGAATACGAAAGTCTGTTGTGGACAACATTTTCCCGAGGGAAGAGAAAGCGAAGAACGAAAACGAAGCCGGAACGTAAGTTGTAGAGAAACGGGGGACCAAGGTACGTGATTGCGTACAAGCGTTGGCGTCAGTCCTGACGAGGTCTTTTGGCAGGCTTCTTGTCCGGGCATGAGCAGATGGTGGAGTGGAGACGTCGGTTGCCGCAGCGACTGCAGCCTACTTGAGCGGTCTTACAAGAGGTATCGGTATCGTGAGCAGCAAGGCAGGCAATACATCTTTTCAGCTCGATGAGGCGGACAATACGACGATCATTGGTGGCGAAGTTGCGGCATGCGGAGGATTCTCGGTGTCGTCCACAGAAGACACAGCTGTTGATGGTGACAGGAGGAGCGAGATTAGGTTTGTTTAAGGTTCTTTTGATCTCTTCTCGTAGTTGTTTCAGGCTGACATTCACCTCGTCCATCCAGATGGAAAGCGAACTCTGCAGTTGGATGACGTCTTGGATGGTGGCGGCGCGATTGGTGTGAGAGTCCGAGCACGGCAGTTCCTCTTCCAGAACGCCTTCGTCGAGGATTGAATGGTCAGTCATCTAAAATAGTACTTAAGGTAGAAAAGAACAGAGAATAACAGAAAGGAGTCGAGGTGCTGACAAGAGGTAAGATAGTACAGTGATGTTTCAGTTAGAAGCTGCGAAATTGAGTCGGCTCCGCCTATTTAATTAGCATGCACGGAATTAGCATGAGGAGCGGGATCTTCCGATAGCTCGAGGGGGATGAGCGATTCGGGGAGTCTCAAGTACGATTTCCCGTCCGGATGACGAACCACGACGCTGCGGATGATTCCGGAGTTATCGGCGTGCGTCTCCTGAACGATGCCTAGGTGCCACTGTCGCTTATCTTTTGTCATTTCAGTGCACAGGACTACCATTCCTATCTCGGGAGAGGCCGTGGGATGCTTGGGCCGATAGTTTCGTTCTCTTAAAGCTTGAAGGTAACCTTCAGCCCAAAATTTCCACAGTCGAGCTATGTGCGAAGAGGTATCGTTCCAGCCTTTACTAAGGAGTTTCGGCAGTAAGTATACGTTTGCCTCGTTTAGCTGCTCATTTTCAGGTATTCGCGAAGAATCTTCCCTATACGGAAAGAGAAAGTGACGCGGTGTCAGGACCGAGCCGTCTTCTATGCTGAGAGGCATAAGAGGACGTGAGTTGACCAGAAACGCAGCTTCTTCGAGGAGCGTCGCAAAAATAGAAAGAGATGGAATGGTATGCTCTTGAGTCATTTTGTATAAGTTCTTCTTCAGAACCCCAATTAACCGTTCATACATTCCTCCTTTCCAGGGCGATAAAGGCGTTATGTAAAGGAATGAAATGCGATATAGATCGCTGAGGTGATCTAATGGAGGAGGTAAGGTCAGTTGCTTATTCTGAGTATGGAACAGTTTGCTTAAGGCTTTGTGAGAAGAGAGATTGTCGAGGTAAATGAGTTTAGGAACTCTATACCTTGCAAAGAATCGTCTGAGTGCGAGCGAAATCTCCAACGATGAAGTGTTTCCAGAATCTCGACGTGGACCGCGCGGGAGACGAAGCATGTGATAAGGAGAACATGATAGGGTTTGGAGTCGATCTTAAAGGGACCAGCTTCGTCCATACCAACCCGCTCCCAGAGACCGCCGAGGATACGAGACTGAGGTAAGTCCTTTAATTCAGGTCGTGGAAAGGGTCTACCATTGGAAAGCTTGCACTTGATGCAAGACTTCAAGACTTTCGTAGGATTCCTAGCAGGTAATGGCCAGAATTTCTTTCTTAAGCGAGTCAAGGTGGTAGAGACTCCACAATGGCTGTTGAGCTCATGGTAACGAAGAATGAGCGTTTTTCCTAGAGATGAGTCTCCCAATATCAACCAAGGGTGACATCCTTCCTCCGGGAATCGTCCCTTCAGTCTCAAGCATCCTAGCTCGTCCTGGACGACGTCGAGGTTGTGACACAGTTTAGTTAAGCGAGGACGCTCAATAGTTTGGTGTTTTATGACCGCCAAACATTCAGCTTTCTCGTTCAAACTCCACTCTGTCTTCGTCAGGAAAGGAAAGGCTGTAACAAGTTTGCTGAGGAGAGGTTCGTTGTGGACTAAACGCCGTTGCAGACATGTAAGGAGTGTGACCTGAGCCTTATAAGGTCTGAGGAAGGAACGATAGGAAGAGAGTTGTGACGAAGGTGAGTTTAACACTGATAGAGCGACTGTGACCGGATTGTGGGTCCCTTCTTCAGAGATCTTAATGTGTTTAATTGATGAGAAGAGGCGAGAAGGGTCCACCACATAGGAAGTGGGACGGTTTAGATCGATACTCCACCAGTTAACTAATGTTGCAAAGGTTTGTGGTGAGACTCCACGCGAGGCATGATCCGAAGGATTATGTTCGCCGTCAATATGATGGTAAGTGACGTTGAATTTCTTCTTCAGACGTGCGTGAATAGCCTCCATTTTCTTCAAACGATTGATCACGAAGACTTGTTGCGGCGTTTGATGACCATGCATTCACTGTAGCGTTGTAGTGGAGTCCGAGTAGAAGGATATGGAGTCTACAAGCTCAACGATGTTTTCAGAGATTTTGTCTACAAGTTCCATGGCCGTTAACAGAGCTACCAGCTCTAATCTGGGGATGGTTCCTCGAGGGGACAACATCGATTTGGAGGTGAGTAGTGACGCTGTAACTTTGTCATTCAGGTAGACACAGACTCCTATCGCTGAGGCAGAGGCGTCCGCAAAAACCTCGAGTAGCAGATCTTTCTTCGACAAGCTCGTTATAGAAAGAACAGGACGAGGTATTTCGATGTTGTTAATGAGGTTTTTTGTTTCTTTAGCCAGGTTGGCCCATATGTTTCCTTCTGTTTCTGCGATGCTGTGATCGTACAAGGTACTTTGAGGCCAGAAGGTGTTCATATGTAATCTCAGGTTTAGGAGCACAGGAGACATCAGGCCAAGAGGGTCGTAAAAGGATGCGAGGACGCTCATGGCTGTTCGTCGAGTGTAAACAACTGCTGGTATGATAGCCGGAGATTGAAGGCTAAGTTTGTCGGTCTCTGGGTACCAAAGTAAACCAAGAGCCGACAATTTTCTTTCTTTACATATCTTTTGATCGGTTATTCCTTTCAGAGCCGCTGATGAGTTGGAGGAGAATTCACGAAGATTCATACCGATTTCGTCAAACAATGAAGAAACATGAGGTAAGTCCGTGAAACACTCTTCAGGGTTGTTTCTCGAGAGGATCAAGTTATCAACGTATATGCTTGAGAGTATTTCAGATGACAGAGGAGATCCGCTCGATGAAACATGGTGCGTGAGAGTAGCAGAGAGAAGGAAAGGAGACGAGGAAACTCCGAATGGTAGCCTCGTATGGCGTAAGTGAAGCAGGTTATTGTTAGAAGGAGGTAATGTAGCATCTTTTAGCCATAGCATCTTGGTGAAGTTACGATGCTCCCTATTAATTTCGACTTGGTGGAAAGCCTTTTCGATATCTGCCATGATGATGATGGGAGCCAAGCGGATCTTTATGTGAAGTAAACGCAAATCAGGTAATTCGCATGGTCCTATAAGAAGTAAATCATTTAGGGAAGGACTATGTTTGACGTGTGAGCTAGCGTCTAGAACTATGCGCAACATTGTGGTGGTAGATGATGGTTTCAGTACGGCAGAATGAGGAATGAAATATGAAAGGTTAGTCTTCATATCCTCTGACGGCACCTTT